TTAAAAAGCAGTATTGATCACAACTACTCGAGGAATGAAAATGCCCAATACCATATTCAAGGCACATCAAAGATAACACTGCTATTTCCTAATGAGGACAGGGCTCTCGGCACATTCAAATCATGATTAAATTTTAAATAAATCAATCTGGGTAGGAAAATACTTGCTGACGGTCCTCTTAGAAGGATAGCCAGCAAGGTAGAAATCAGCTTGAAACCAGTGAAGTGGAAAAGTTACTGTAATGATTGTCTAACACCCTACAGAGAAATCAGTTGTACAGGGGAGACAAATAGTCACAGAGCCATGCAGCACTGAAAAAGACTCTTCAGCCCATCATGTCACACTAGTAAAAATACTCACCTAAACATTCTAATCCCACTTGCCAGCACTTGGCCCACAGCCTTGTATGCCTCAACATCACAATTGCACATCTAAATAATTCTTAAATGGGATGAGGGTCCGTATATCACCCTTATAGGAAGTGAGTTCCAGATTCCCAACGACCCCTGAATGAAAAGGATTTTCCTCATATCCCCTCTAAACTTCCTGGCCCTTACCTTAAATCTGAGCCCCGCCCCAGTCATTGATCCCTCCACTAAGGGAAAATGTTTCTTCCTGTCTACCCTACGTTGCCCCTCATAATTTTGTACATCTCAGTCATGTCCCCTCTTAATCCCCTTTGTTCTAAAGAAAATAACCCCAATCTCTTTGGAACTGAAACTCTCCAGCCCAGGTTAACATCCTGGTAAATCTCCTCTGTGCCCTCTCCAGTGCTATCACTTCTCTCCTGTAATGTGGATTCCCAGACAATATTCTAACTCTCATTTTAGTAGTCAGTTTACAAGGAAAAGAAGTCAACCATTTTGTTTCTGTGATATGAGTCAAGTCACCACAGCCTTACAAGGCCGTAGGGCTGCTCTCTCATTAGAGAGAGAGAGAGAGACAACTGGTAGTGATTTAACCCAAGGGTCACCACACTTCAGGGGCGAGGCACAGGCTGAGAAGCAGAGTCCTTTAATGGTAACCTCAGCCAGTGTGGGAAACAAACCCACACTGTCAGTTATCTCACTGCTTCACAAACCAACTGAGCTAAACCAACCCCCTGTGATAGGAGTACAGCAGTATTATATCAAGTATTTCACAGTGATTGTTTTTTAACAGGTTTGAACCCTATTCAAGGGGAAATCATAGAAACCCTACAGTGTGGAAGCAGGCCATATGGCCCATCGAGTCCACACCAACCCTCCAAAGAGCATCCCAACTCTCTACCCTATCGCTGTAAACCTGCATTTCCTACGGCTAATCCACCTAACTGGAACTTCTTTGGACTGTGGAAGGAAACTGGAGCACCCGGAGGAAACCCACGCAGACATGGGGAGACAGTGCAAACTCCACACAGACAGTAACCGGAGGGTGGAATCCAACCCAGGTCCCTGGCTCTGTGAGGCAGCAGTGCTAACCACTGAGTCACCATGCCACCCAAAAATAATCTGAATTTGGATGGTTCACTCTTAATTGATTGATTTCTCTTTCAAACATTTCTTATTGCGATTGTTCTAAGAGATATTTTATATGTACAATGGAACTTTTTTTTTAGATGTTGCTAATTAATCAATTCAGAGATGTTATTACATAACCCTCTGAAGCAGGTGCGACCTGAACTTGGATCTGCCTGGCTCAGAGGGAGTGACACTACCACCATGCCACTAAAGCTTGCACCAAGATATTAAAAGGTTATTTGAAGACATTTACATTTTATTCAAACCAGTTGCCTCCTTTCTAAATGAGGAACTTATATCGAATGATATTGGATCCTCATTTCAACGACTGGAACCTAATGCACCAGAGTTACTCTGTTAACTAGTTCCCCATCAGTACGTCCTTCCACAGCAACAATTTACTTTTAGAATGCAGCCACTATTGCTATATAGGCCAATTGCACATGATAAAAATCTACAGAGGTCAAGGTGACAGACTAGAATCATATAATCACTGCAGCATTGAAGGAGGTTGTTCGGCCCATCATGCTTTGCTGGTTCTCTACAACAGCAATTCAACATTTCATTGTGTCGTAGAGTCATACAGCATGGAAACAGACCCTTTGGTCCAACCAGTCCATGCTGAACATAATCCCAAACTAAATTAGTCCCACCTGCCTACTCCTGGCCCATATCCATCCAAACAGTTCCTATTCATGTACTTATCCAAACGTCTTTTAAATGTTGTCACTGTACCATTTCCTCAGGAAGTTCATTCTACACTCAAATCACCCTGTGTGTAAAAATTTGACCCTCGTGTCTTTTTAAAATCTCTCTCACCTCTCTGCTTTTTCACCACAGGCCTGCTATTTTGTTTTCGCTTCAGAAAATTATTCAGTAGTGTTTATTGCAAGCCATGATTGTATTTGCCTCTACCTCATTCTCAAGCAGAGTATTCCAGATCCTAACCATTTACTGCAGTTTCTTTCTCAACCACCTTAAATTAGAGTCATACAGTCATACAGCATAGGAACAGACTCTCGATCCAACCAGTCCACACCAACCATGTTCCCAAACTAAACTAGTTCCACCTGCCTGCATTAGGCCCATATGACTCCAAACCTTTCCTATTCATGTTTTTATTCGAATGTCTTTTACACAATATAACTGTACCCATGTCCACCACTTCCTCTGGCAGTACACGCCATACACAAATCACACGCTGTGTATAAAAGTTGACCCTCATGTCCTTTTTAAATCTTTCTCCTCTCACCTTAAGAATATGCTCTCTAATTTTGAACTAGAGAAAAGGGAAAGCCCTTGCTATCCATCTTATCTATGTCCCTCATGATTTTATAAACTCCTATAAGGTCACCCTCTAACCTCCTACATTCCAGTGAAAAAGGTCTCAGCCAATCCAGCTTATTCTAATAACTCAAACCCTCCATTCCCAGCAACATCCTGGTAAATCTCTTCTGAATCCTCTCCAATTTAATAATATCTTTCCTATAGCAGGGCAACCAGAACTGGACACAGTACACCAGAAGAGGCCTCACCAATGTCCTGTACAACCTCAACATGATGTCCTAACTCCTACACTCAAAGGTCTGAGCAAATGAAGGCAAGTGTGCTAAATGCCTTCTTAAACACCTGTCTACCTGTGACGCAAATTTCAAAGAATTATGTACCTGAACCTGTAGGTTCTACAACACTGCCCAGGGCCCTACCGTTAACTGCATAAGTACAATGTCTAGTAATTCTTGATCGTTCCTCAAAATAGGAACATAGGAACAGAGTAGGTTATTCAGCCCCTCAAGCCTGTTCTAACATTCAATGAGATCGTGGCTGATCTGTGGCCTAACTTCACATACCTGCCTGTGGCCCATATCCCTTGATATCTTTGCTTGCTAAAAAGTTATCTATCTCAGATTTAAACTTAATAATTGATCTAGCATCCACACTATTTGTGGAAGAGAGTTCCAAACATCTACCTTTGTGTGTAGAAGTGTTTCCTAACATCTCTTCTGAATGGTCTAACAGTCATTCTCAGAATGGCCTAATTCTTCTCCTATATCTTATGGTCTTACTATGCACCCAGTTCTAGAATCCCAAAGCAGTGGAAATAGTTTACATTTACCTACCCTGTCTTTTCCTGTTAATATTTTGAAGACTTCGATCAGATCACCCTATAACCTTCTAAATTCTCGAGAAAGCAGGCCTAATTTGTAAAAGCTCTCCACATAACCTAACCCCTGAGATCCAATGAGAACAGTTTCTCTCTATCCACCTTGTCTAGCCCCCTCATGATTTTGAACACCTCTATCAAATCTCCTCTGAACACTCTCTTCTATAAGGAACCTAGCTTCTTCAGTCTGTGTAACTGAACTCGCTTATCCCTGGATGGACTTTTGTGAAACTTTTCTGCATCCACTTGAATGCCTTCATATTGTCCCTAAAAGTGTGGTGCCCAGAACTGAATGCAATACACCAGCTAAGGACAAATCAGCATTTTATACCATAACTTCCTTATGTTTGTACACCTCGCCCCTATTTAAAAGTCCAGGATGACATTAGCTTTATCATCCACTCACTGAACCTGACCTGGCATCATCAATGATTTGTGCACATAAATCACGTGACCCTCTGCTCCTGCAGTCCCTTTAGAATAATTCCCTTTATTTTATTTTGCTTCTTGTTCTTTCTTACAAAATCACTTCACAATCCCCTGTATTTAGTTTCATCTGCCCATTCTGCCAATCTGCCAATCTCCCCTTGAAGTTTATCACTATTCTCCTCACAATTCAGAATACTTACAAGTTTTGTGTCAAAACTTTGAAACTGCACCCTGTAGACCCAAGTCAGGTCATTAACATATATCAGTAAAAGCAGGGATTCTAGCACAGAGCCTTGGGCAATCACATAGCATGCCTTCCTCTAGTGTGAAAAACAACTGTCTCTGCTCCTATGATGCTGCTTGGCCTGCTGTGTTCATCCAGCCCTGCACCTTGTTAACAAACACTCTCCGTTTCTGACTACTCAGATTATTTCATATCCAGGCTGATGTTGCTCCTTTTGTTTCATGACAATTTTCTGACAAACCTGTTTTATGACATTTCATCAAATGCTTTTTACAAGTCAATGCATACTGCATCAACCACATTACCTTTATCGATCCTCTGTCTCACCTCATCAAAAAACTCAACTCTGTTAGTTAAATACAATTTAGCCTGCCAAATCCATGCTGGTTTCACTTTATTTGTTCACATTTGTCCAAGTGACTATTAATTTTGACCTCAGTTATTGTCCTACCACCAAGGATAAACTGATTGGCCTGTAGTTACTGGGTTTCTCCTTTGTTGAACAAGTGTGTGATATTTGCAATCTCCAATCTGAATGCCTCCAAAACTGGTGTAGTTTTCTGGCCATACCCCCCCATATCATATTGATGTCTGTGTTGAGTTACATGTATCAAATGCATACTGATGTTAAATTCCAAAATACCGGTTTATGGCTATATTAAAATTTACTTTATTTTGTGTTGAGTTTTTTTTATACAGAAACATAGCCCATGCACAACATGTTACGTTTGCCAAATTCAATTTGAAGAATATTATCCCTTTGTAAAAACTTTATTCATATTTTACAGTCAACACATTTCCTAAAAACATTTTACCAGAATCAATGTTTAAAGGTTCCTGATAAATTGCATTGTCAGCATTATTATAGAATTGTTATACTTCATATAGTGGTGTTGTAACGGCCAAAAAATGTCTCCAAATAAGTGCAAGTCCTCATAAGCACTGAGTAAATCCAGAGAGACAGACCACATGAAGTAGGGTATTAACATTGAGAATGTTTATTATTAGGGAACCTTTGGGAAATGGGTTCAGGTGTCTTTCTTGTGCTGTACAGAGACAGAATGCAGAGCTGTCTCTGACAACTCTTTTTTCACACTCGGCAGTCTGTTCTCAGTAGTCTGGCCATGTTGAGAAGTTGATGTAACTGCGACATATTTGCACGTAGACGCTTGTCCCATGTGTGCTGCTTTTCTGTCAGGGATGTTTGGATTAGTGTCGTTCAGGTCAGAAGCCGAAACTGGTTTCTCTTGTAACGTTTGTTCAAACAAACATCCTTGTGTAAGCAGTTCCCTCTCCTTAGTATTTCTCCATTTCATTCTGCGGTTCTGGAACCATATTTTTACCTTTTGAGTTGATAATGTCAATGACAGCATTAGTATCAGTATTGCAAGTAGCAATGGACAGCTAGCATTTGGCTGTTTAAAATTAAGCTTGCATTTTGTACAGGCAGTTTAATCAAAACAATAATAAAATTTCATCATTGGGAAGAATTAGGATGGAATGCTTTCTATTTAGAAGTCTGAAACGTCTCTATTAAGAAGTAAAGAGATACAACTTTTCATGTTAAATACTGCATTTAAAATAAACAACTAATTATAACATATGACAGCATTATAAAATTATGTAGCATTCCCTGGAAGAGCCCTTGTAATAGCTTTGGCTTCTGAGCTGTAAGGTCATGAACTACAGTCCACAAGTATCTCCCTCCATCAGAGATAGACAGAAGAGTTCTGAGGAAGGGTCACCGGACCCGAAACATTAACTCTGTTTTATCCTTCACAGATGCTGCCAGACCTGCTGAGCTTTTCCAGCAACTTCTGTTTTTGTTCCTGATTTACAGCATCCGCAGTTCTTTCGGTTTTTACAGACATAATCTTAATGGGCACTGCTCCACAAGCACGGGGAAGATGAGGACATAGTTCTTCATCATTACAGCCTGTACAGAGATTGAGCCTACTCTTTATGGAGGCAACTGAGCTCATTGAAACCCAAAACTCCTCAATTATGTTCCATACTTCTGACTAACCCCTACAATTCTCACTAAACACCCACAGTTTCTGACTGACCCCCACAATTCTCACTAACACCCACAGTTTCTGACTGACCCCCACAATTCTCACTAACACCCACAGTTTCTGACTAACCCCCATAATTCTCACTGACACCCCCAGTTTCTGACTGGCCCCTACAATTCTCACGAACACCCACAGTTTCTGACTAACCCCTACAATTCTCACTAACACCCACAGTTTCTGACTGACCCCTACAATTCTCACTGACACCCCCCGTTTCTGACTAACCCCTACACACCTCATTGAAGCCACATTATCCTGTCACAACATACACTCCTCACTGACCACCCACCACAACTACTGACTCACCCCCTCACTCCACACTGACCCCCACATCCTGACAGACCCCCACATACTTCTGACTGTGAGGGTTATTGTGCAAAGGCTAATTTTTGCATTCTGAACATTCTTCATTTTGTTTTGAGTAGAATTTATATTCAAGCAGTGGAAATAAGCATTATTTACTGTTATGAAAGTGAACAAAGATACTTAAGATATAAATAAAAACCCTAATGTAACATCATATACAAATTTTGCTTAGGCCATCAGAAAATAGAATTTTTCTATCAAATTCTTGGCAATATTCTTCAGTGATCTCACATCTAAGAGTAATCCATTTGAAGTTTAGCATTGGCAAGTTCTGCAATTTCCTTGCCTTGACTGGGTATCGTTTTCATCATTCGAACCACAATAAAGGTTAAGCAAGTCATTGGGAAGTAATGACACATTCCAGGGGAATTGTAACAATGACTACTCAGTCCTCTAAACTAAATGAGGATGTTTTGAGGACAAGTTACTGAATGGAAACTGGTGGAGTGCAGAAAAAGTACATATAAAAACTGTAGTGATTATAACAAGGTCAGCCAGGTGAACGTCATAGAATATGAGTTCCCGGGACTCGAAACATTAACTCAGTTTCTTTTCCCACAGATGGTGCCAGGCTTGCTGAGTTTCTCCAGCATGCTCTTTTTTTATTTCAGATCTCCAGCATCTGCAATATTTTGATTTACAAACCAGTTTGGTAGCACTGTAAACAGTTGCATACTCTGCAGTTTGGCTATATGATCTGTCAGTATTCATTAGAGCGGAATCTTTCCTGTGGCCTATGTCCGTGTTGGTTTTACCTTTGGATGTAATGCTTAGATGATGTCTCAGTAAATAAGCTCCTTGCCTGATTCACAATATTGATCAAAACGGAGCAGCTCAGAAATCCACTTCTCTCCCAGGCTTTTGTTGATTTTCCTTTCATGCTTTCACAATTGAACCTGACGTGAAAAAATGCCTAGATTTTCCAATTAGGACAAACATCAAATAGAGGCGGGTTTGCACCCATTCTCATCACAGAACCCAATGTCAATGTTATATTGGAGACTGACGTTCTGTCCTTCATTGAGATATTTTGCTATGGCAGGCTGCTGAAAAATGTCCGTTTTCCCTCTTTATTTGCGGCACTCCCTTCATGATCGCTGAGCACAATGCCATTCTTGTCAAGAATACAAGCTATGACACTGAAATAAACATCTTCAGCAGCCTTCACAAAATCAGTTTAAGGAGATGAATGCAAAGGCATCAACAGACAAGGGCTTTTCCTTCAATTACATACGTATAGGCAAGTATATGTTAAACCAGCATGCCTGCCCTCCAGATGGTGGTAAGGGAGTGTATGATCCAGGAGCCAGTTGAGCACATTGTGAATTAGCCTTCTGGCAAGCCAAACCTGCAAAATCTAGCCACACTTTAATGTTCCGTGTAATTAATATGCTTTATCACATGAAAATGATCCTGCTGTACACTATTTCTATTGTAAACTTTGCACACATGAATTTATATCATGAGAGGGAGTTTCCCCTCGTGGGAGAGACCAGGACCAAGAAGGCACAGTATCAGATTAAGGGTTACCAATTTAAAAACTGAGATGAGGAGGAATTTCTTCTCTCAGGGCATGCACTTCTTTGGAACTCCTTGTCACAGAGAATTGTGCAGCGGAGTCCTTGTGTATATTTAAGTCAAAAGTCACACAACACCAGGTTATAGTCCAACGGGTTAATTTTAAATCAAATTTGATATGAAATAAAGCTGTTTGACTATAACCTGGCATCATGTGACTTCTGACTTTGTCCACCCCAGTCTAACACCGGCACCTCCAAATCGTGTATATTTAAGGTTGAGATTGATTCTGATCAGTCAGGGAATCAAGGGTTACAGAGAAAGGGCAGGAAAGTGGGTGTGAGGAAAGTTAATCTGCCATGATCCTATTAAACGGAGGAGCAGCTCGAGGGGCCAAATGTCCTACTAAAGTCTTAAAATGCAAAAAATTACCATAAAGAAAATATCATGATACCAAAATCATGAGAGATCCGGGCAGGCTAGACAGGGGGAAGCTGTTTTTGCTTGTGAAAGAAAATAAGGACAAGAGGGCACAGACTCAAAGTGATGTGCAAATGAAACAAAGGTGATGTGGCAAAGAACTTTTTCACCCAGCGAGTAGTTAGGGTCTGGAATACGCTGTGGTGGAGGTAGGTTCAACTGAGGCACTCAAGAGGGTCATTGATGGTTATTTGGACAGGAATGGTGCACAGGGAGATGGGGAAGAAACAGGAAACTGTCACTAGGGACCAGAACTGGTATAGGCATGACATCTTTTAATCAATGTTCCACCATTGCTGATGATGTCTCAGTAAATAAGCACTTTGCCTAATTCACAATATTGATCAAAACGGAGCAGCTCAGAAATCCACTTATTGTTCTTTCTCAGGCTTTCAATTGTTAGACAACATGACATGGAACACACTGCCTACACACCACTCTGTTCTACCTCACTTTTCTTTTTAAGGCGCTCCTTGAGACCTACCTCTTTGGCCAAGTTTTTGATCATTGAACTCAATATCTCTTCAGGGAGCTCAGTGTCACATTTTCCTTCCTAATGCTCCTGTGAAGCACCTCGAGATGTTTGACTACATCAAGGCTGCTATATAAACATTAGTTGTTGCTGCTGTGACCTGCTCACCTGGCAGACTAAGATGCTGAAATAAAGGTACTGGAACTCCAAAGGACTGGTCTCTCATTAGAGAAAGAGACACACACAACCAGTGGTGACTTTAACCTAAGGGTCACCAAACTTGAGGTAAGGGGCAATGGGCAAGGTGAAGAAGGTGGGACCTTCAGTGGTAACTCCAGCTGGTCTGGGAGTTGAACGCATGTTGTTGATGTCACTCTGCATTGCAAACCAATCAATTAAACAAACTAACCCCATCAAAGCTGACATATCGTACCTGTGAATCTTTAAGGCCAAGGTGGGTGGCCAGTTTCTTCCTGTCTGTTTTACTGATGTACTTCTGTTTCTGAAAGGTTTTCTCCAGTGCTTTCCTTTGTTCCTCAGAAAAGACCACTCTCCGTAGGATTCCTCTTCGCACTTTGCTGTGACTGACTTGGGGCCAAAGGGGAAATTCACAGCTCCTGAAAGAACTGCTAACTGAGGAGCAAAATAAGTACATTTAGGGCTGTAGGAAATGTTCAGAACTGGCCTGCCAAACTTGCACTTATTTAGTTAATCGTCCATATTTGGGGGAGATGGCACAATCTGCTCCTATGATGCTGCTTCGCCTGCTGTGTTCATCCAGCCCTGCACCTTGTTGTCTCGGATTCTCCAGCATCTGCAGTTCCTACTAACAGTGACAATGTCACTGGTCTCGTAATGCAGAGCTCCAGGCTAATACTCTGGGGACACAGTAACTGGTGGAATTTATACTCAATAAAGTTCATCCCAGTAATGATGAAAACATCATCAATTGTTCTAAAAATATATCTGGTTCACCAACCCGCGTTTACAAAAGGAAATTTGTCATCCTTACCCATGTGGCCTACACACGACTCCAGACTCGTCACTACCTCTGAATTGATTTAGTTACTATTTCTTTCAAGGGCAGTTAGGGAAATGCAAAAAATGCTAGCTCTGCCAGCAACATCCACATCCCATGAGAGAATAATAGCCTTATCCTTCAATCACCTCATTCTCCAGAAACAGATCCAGTTATATTTTGCTTTCCTTATCATTTCATTGGAGGCTGTTCAGAGAAGGTTCACTACAATGACTCCCAGTTTGGAGGGATTGACTTATGAGCAAAGGTTAAACAGGTTGGGACTCTATTCATTGGAGTTTAGAAGAATGAGAGGTGATCTCATTGAAACCTATTGGATTCTTAAGGGGCTTGACAGGGTAAATGCTGAAAGGATGTTTCCCCTCATGGGAGAGTCTAGGACCAGAATCAAAGACAGCCAATTGAAGACTGAGATGAGGAGGGATTTTTTCTCTCACAGAGCTGTGGGGACAGAGTCTTTGTCTATATTTAAGGCTGAGGTAGATAGATTCTTGATCAATTGGGGAATCAAGAGTTGTGGGAAAGGGCAGGAAAGTGGATCTGAGGAATGTTGAATGGGCCATGATCCTATTGAATGGTGGAGCAGGCTCGAGGGACCGAACAGCCTACTCCTGTTTCTATTTCTTATGGCCTTACGGTCCTATGGTTTAAACAAATTCCATCAGGAGTAATTGATAATCCATATTATTTATTGTAACTCTTACCAAGGCCAATTTAAGGATTTAAAATTTATGAGAAATTGCAGTTTGTCATTTGTGAGCATCCAAGTTGGAATTTGTTTCATGTTGATTGGCTAAATCAACTTCTGTCTTTATTACTCAGTACATCAGCCATTTGAAGCAACTGTTTTAGGTTCACGTGTTGCAAAGTCACCTGTTTAAAACAAAATCAATTTCAAAATAAATTCAGCAATGCACAGATACAAGGTGACATTAAATATTGTGCTGGTGTTCTGTTTTGCAGGAAAATCCATGAACCTTCATAAGAATATAAGAACCAGGAGCAGCTGTATGCAATTCAGCCCTTCAAACCTGCTCTCTCATTTAAGGCGATCATGGTTGATCTCATCCTGGCCTTGACTCCACTTTCCTGCCCACTCTCCATAACTCTTTAATCCAATACTAATTAAAAATCTGTCTACTACCCCTTTATAGTTACTCAATGTCCCAGAATCCACCGCAGGAGGTGGTGAATTCCAAAGATTCACAGCCCTTTGACAGAAGTAATTTCTCCTCACCTCTGTTTTAAATCTGCTGCCCCTTAGCCTAAAACTATAGCCTCTCGTTCTAGATTGCCCCACCTGAGGAAACATCCTTTCAACATCGATGTTGTCAATCCTATTCAGCATTTTATACATTTCAATTAGATCTCCTTTCATTCTTCTAAACCCCAGAGAGATTAGGCCTAAACTGCTCAATCCCTCTTCATAAGACAAACTCCATATCTCTGGAATAGTTGGTTGCATCCAATAATATTATTTAAAATTAATTTTCATATAATCATACAGTACAGAGAAGACCCCTCGCCCTATCTGCTACAGAAAAAACCCTTCTGTTGCATACAATTCTGGTCACCACACTACCAGAAGGATGTGAATATTTTGGAGAGGATACTGAAGAGATCTACCAGGATGTTGCCTGGTATAGGGAATTTTAGCTATGAAGAAAGGTTGGATAGACTGGGTTTGTTTTCACTGGAATGCAGGAGATTGAGGGACGACCTGATAGAAGTTTATAAGATTGTAAATGGCATGGATAGAGTGGAAAGTATGAGGCTTTTTCCCAGGGTGGAAGGGTCAATTACTAGGGGACACATGGTCAAGGTGCAAGGGGGGAAGTTTAAAAGCGATGTGTGAGGCAAGTTTTTCAAATAAAGGCTGGTGAGTGCCTGGAACGTGCTGCCAGAGGAGGTGGTGGAAGCAGACACAGTAGCAGCATTCCAGAAGCACCTGGATGAATACATGGATAGGAAGGGAATAGAGGGATATGGATCCTGTAAGTGAAGACAGTTTTAGTATGGAAGGGCAAAATGTGTCGGTGCAGGCTTGGGGGGCCTATACTGTATTGTTCTTTGTTCCTTCACTCTATCAAGTCTGTGCCACCAAAAACTATACAACAACCTACACTAGTCCCATTTTCCCACATTAGGCCCTTGACCTTGAATGTTATGACACTTCAAGTGCTCTTCCAAGTAATTTTTAAAGGTTGTGAGGTTTCCTGCCTCAACTACCCTCCCAGCTGGTGTATTCCATGCACCCCCTTACCCTCTGGATGAAAATATTTGTCCTCAAATCCCCACTAAGCCTCCTACCTTTCACCTTAAAATTGTGCCCCCTTGTTATTGACCCTTCAACTGTGGGGAAACAGCTGCTTTCTATTCACCCTGTCTATGCCCCTCATAATTGCATATACAAATTTTCTTCAAAATGCTTATTGACTTTGTTTTCAAAATGTGGGTGAATTTCATGAATATAGCATACCTGCTTATGGTTCATGAATTACTGATGGTTAAAGAACTAAAACATTTTCGATGCAACAATGTACCATTGCTTTAGTCTCTTAAAATACACACTGATTGATAGAATACACCACAACCATCTTTTTGTCTGGTTTCTGTTGGAGGTGATTGTTTTAGAATTATTTCTTTACGCTACATGATAATGTCTATAAATTTTTGACCTGCTCTTGTAGCCACTGTGGTTATATGGCTAGTTAAGTTCAATTTCTTGTCAATGGTAATCTCCAGGATGTTGATAATGGGGGGATTCAGTGATGGTAACATCATTGAGTGTTAAGGGGTGGTGGTTAGATTGTGTCTTATTGAAGATGATCATTGCTTGGCATTTGTGTAACATGAATGTTACTTGCCATTTGTCTATAATTGTCATGAACCATAAGGACAATCCAATCTTGACACTCAATGGAACCTCATTTAAGCATCTGTGCACAAATTAAATATTAATTAAAGCATGATGTGGTCTGCAACATCAAGCAGATGGAAGTTTTAAATTAAAATATTATTGAAAAAATATCATAGAGAGATTAAACTTAAAAGAGAAGTTTGGAAAGTAGGTTAATTAGGTAATTTAATGTAAAATATGGATTTAAATAGTTCTTATTCATGAAATTAAGTTTAATGTTACTGAAAGTCAAGGTGAAGCACATATTAAATTGTTATCATATTCATAACAGACTTTAGGAATCATTTGTATGTAGTTATGTCATTACTGAACAGTATAATTAATGTATCCATTATATGTTTGACATATCTGTATCAACCCACTCTGCAGACAACCCCTAGATTGTTGTAAGTTTTTTAGTCACCTCTGCAATGTGAACATTGCTGACTGAGCCAGCATTTATTGTTGAAGGTAGGGGTGGGGGTGGGCTGCCTTCTTGAACTGCTGCAGTCCACCTGCTTTAGGTTAACCCACAATGCCATGAGGAGGGAATTCCAGAATTTTGACGGGGCAACAGCGGAGGAACAGCGATATATTTCCAAGTCAGAATAGTTAGTGGCTTGGAGGGGAACTTGCAGGTGGTGGTGTTGCCATGTTTCAGCTGCCCTTGATTTTGTAGACAGTAGTGGTTGTGGATTTGGAAGTTGTTTCTTAAGAATCTTTAGTGAATTTCTGCAGTATATCTTGTAGATGGTACACACTGCTGCTACTGAGTGTCTGGTGAAGGGAGTTGATATTTATGGATGTGGTGGCAATCAAGTGGGTTGCTTTGTCCTGGATTATGTCAAGTTTCTTGAGCGTTGTCAGAGCTGCACCCATCCAGGCAAGTGAGGAGTATTCCATCACATTCCTGACATGTGCCTTGTAGATGGTGGACAGGCTTTGGGGAGTCAGGAGGGGAGTTACTCACCGCAGTATTCCTAGCCTCTGACCTGCTCTTGCAGCCACTGTCTTTATATGGCTAGTTAAGTTCAATTTCTTGTCGATGATAATCTCCAGGATGTTGATAGTGGGGGGATTCAGTGATGGTAACATCATTGACTGTCAAAGGGTGGTGGTTAGATTGTGTCTTATTGAAGATGGTTATTGCTTGGCATTTGTGTGACACGAATGTTACTTGCCACTGTCAGCTCAAACCTGGATATTGTCCAGGTCTTGTTGCATTTGAATATGGACTGTTTCAGTATTTGAGGAGTTGCAAATAGTGCTGAACATTGTGCAATCAGTGAACATCCCCACTTCTGACCTTATGATGAATCACAGGTTATTGATGAAGCAGCTGAGGAACTCAGGTTCATTCAACTACATTAATTTTACAAGTTTCATGAATGCAGAAAGACTGACAGTCAACAGAAGGGGATCTTTACCATTCCTACAGCAGCTCCTTTAATAAACTGACCCAACGAGTCAGAGTCATAGAGTCATACAGCACTGAAACAGATCCTTCGGTCCAATTAGTCCATGCTGACCATAATCCCAGACTAAACTAGTCCCACCCTCCTGCGTCTGGCCCATATCCCTGCAAACATTTCTTAATCATGTACTTATCTAAATATCTTCTAAACATTGTAACTGTACCCCGCATCCACCACCCTCTGTGGTACCCCCTAGTCTTGAAAACTCCACCCCAGGGAAAAGACACCTACCATTCACCTTATCTCTGCCCCTCATGATTTTATAAATTTTTATAAGGTCGCCTCTCAACCTCCTACACTCCAGTGAAAAAAGTCCCAGCCTATCCAGCCTTTCCTTACAACTCAAACTTTCCATACCTGGCAACATCCTGGTAAATCTCTTCTGAACTCTCTCCAGCTTGATAATATCCTTCCTATAATTGGGTGATCTGAACTTGTCACAGTACTACAGAAAACATCTCATTAATGTTCTGTACAACCTCAACATGACTTCCCAACTCCTATACTCAAATGAATGAGCAATAAAGACAAGAATGCCAAACACCCTTTTAATCACCCTGTCTATATGTGATGCAAACTTCAAAGAATTATGTACCTGCACCCCTAGATCCCTCTGTTCTACAACATTACCCAAGGCCCTACCATTAATTATATAAGCCCGACCCTTGTTTGTTGTACCAAAATGCAACACCTCGCATTTATCCAGATTGAACTCCATCTGCCATTTTTCAACCCTTTCACCCATTTGATCAAGATCCTTTTGTAATCTTCGAAAAACTTCTTCACTGTCTACAATGCTACCAATTTTGGTGGTTGTCTGCAAACTTACTAACTATGCCTGCTATATTGTCATCCAAATACTTATATAAATGACCAACAAAACAGGACCCAGAACCAATCCCTGTGGAACACCACTGGTCACAGGCCTGCATTCTGAAAAGCAACGCTCCACCATTACTCTCTGTCTCCTGCTTTTAAGCTACTTACATATCCAATTGACAAGCTCATCCTGAATCCCATGTGACCTAACTTTACTAATTAGTCTACCATGCGGAACCTTGTCAAAGGCTTTACTAATATCTAAATAAACAGCAATTACTGCTCTACCCTCATCAACCTTTTTGGTAACTTCTTCAAAAAACTCAATTAAGTTTGTGAGACATAACATTCCTTGCACAAAACCATTCTGACTATCCCTAATCAATTTTTGCCTCTCTAAATGTCCATAAATCTGACCTTTTATAATCACCTCCAACAAATTACTCACAATCAAAGTCAGACTCACAGGTCGATAATCCCCCACTTTTTCCTTACAACTTTTCTTAAACAAAGGTACAACACTAGCCACCCTCCAGTCACCAGGCACCTCACCTGTAGTTATAGATGATACAAATATTCCTGCAGGGGGTCTTGAAATTCCCTCCCTTAATTCCCACAATGTTCTGGGATACATTAGATCAGATCCTGGAAATTTATCCACCTTCACATTCTCTAAGAACCCCTGAACTTCCTCTTCTGTAATGTGAACTGTTTTTAAAACATTAAAGTTTATTTCTTTGCATTCTCTAGACTCCATTTCTTTCTCCACAGTAAAAACTGATATGAAATATTCATTTAGTATCTCTCCCATCTCCTGGGGTTCAAGCACTACTCTGGTGTAGGTCGATTCTAGATTCCCTGTCTTCCTTGCCAATCATTGGCACACCCTCTCTCCCTTCCCTTTGAAATTACCTCCTAAAATCTTTACCCATTACCTACACCCATTCTGCTTTCAAGAGCCTGCTAAGCATTTCAACTAATCTTTTAGTTCTACCCAATTCTACTTTTTCTTTCCACCCACTTTGTTTTAACTTTCCTCTGCTCCCTGTTACATGTTTGGAAGCATCTTTTCCATGTGAGGAGCCCAGCATAAAAGCAACCTGTTGTTGGGATGGGGGAGTGAGGGTTTTTGGCTGGGTGGAGATTTAATCATATAATCTGAAAAATTATTGATGTCTTTGCTTCTAAGCTCTGTTCAACCACTGACTTCTATTCAGGTGGACAGAACGGTCTACCCAGACCAGCTAAAGGAAGTCTATAGAAGTTGATTTCATTTATGTTTCAAAGAACTGGTCTCAATGTTTGTAGTTTGCAGAATTCCCCCAATGGAATGTGACAGACAGAAGCTAAGACTTGCAAACAGAGCTTTATTTATGGCAGTACGAAAGGCTGCTTGACCCCCATCCAGTGCTTTCTTAATGTAGGCTGATTTGGAAAGTTCATCTGCACTGTGAAAAATAGTGACGAGGTCGCGTGTGGATGAAGAAAGTGAAAGTAACTATTGGTCATGGTCCTGTTGGCCATTGTATAGCAGCCACAGCCATGTAAAACGCTCTGTGGGAAAGTGGCAGCCCCCTGAAAACATCTCAGAGAGTCTCAGCTCATTAAACAGCCAGAATTTGCTGCTTCACTTGTCAAGAAGCATTCAAATTGGCAACACTTCTTTTGAGTTTTCTTTTGAAAAGCTATTTAGCCACTGCAAATCTGAATTCACTTAACAGTCGTTTGATTTAAAGCCTTCAGAAAACCACACCATCACAAAACGTATCACTAACGTGTTTAATTCATTTAAAACTTATCAGATATTAACTTTTCCTCTAATTTATTTAGAATGTTTTTGAATTTAAATAATTTAAAGATATATTATCTTTTACCCCTCCAGGTTAAATTGAGATATAATTACTAAAGCGCAAACACTGGACTAGATTAAAAGTTAAACAACACACAGGTTATTTTCATACATTTTAAAAAGATAATGTTTTTGGAATATTACTGTGAGGAACCCATGTCCTTTGAAACAAAAATATCAAGGAGAAGAGTGAGTTTTTAATACATTGGCACATTAATTGTGAAGCTGAAACATGGCATTTGACTTGTAATCATTTTTCAGACCACATGAAATCGTATTGCTACGGTATACAAAACAAATCAAGCATTACTGATGCCGCACAAAAACTTACTCGGAAAAGCAGTGGGGGAGATCGGCTGCTGACAGGACCCACCACAGCAAGCCAGAAAGACCTGGGGGAAAGTCGGCAGGAAACATTTGGATAAAGCTACAAATATTAAACCAGAACAAAATGAGATTAGCAATTTGTTCAGTGTACTTCAGCCAACTTAAATGATAAAAGCTACAAACATATTTCCCAAAATGACTAACAGGGAAATATTCTACACAATTCTTGTGTCTCAATATATGCTGTAAAACAAAGAGCAAAATAATTTGAGTTTCTTGGGTGTGTTACACCAGGTTGCTTTGTGGAAGCCTTTTCATTGTTGCGTGTTTAGTATTCTTAGTACAGATTATTTTTAGAATTAAAGAATGGCTCTAGCACAGAAAGAGGTAATTTGACCAATAATGTCACCGGTCTTTTCCTGTAGTCCTAGGAAACTGAAGTTCCCCATCCCTGGCACCCTGCTTACAAATACTTTTTGCATTTTCTCTAACGTTTGAGTGTGGTGCTCAGAACGAGGCACAGTATCCAATTTAAGGTAGAACTAGTGTTTTATATTCCACATACTTTGTTAACTTATTTTTATTTGGTTTGATTTATTATTGTCACTTATACCAAGGCACAGTGAAAAGTTTTGTTTTGCATGCATATCATAATGCACAAAGATCGTAGGGTGATTCAACAGAGTCTCTCTAATCCAACGTTCTCTCTACGCTACACTGTCGCTCAGGCACTGTAGTTCAACATGCCAACACATCACTTCTGGTTCTCAAAGTCACTGTCCACGCAGTCAAAAGAAAACATTCCAGGCAGCACTGCTCTCAAACCTCCCTGCCCTTTCAATGATTTGGGCACATTTATCCTCAGGTCCCTCTACTACTGCAGTCTGTTCACAATTGTACCTTTTATTTTGTAGTTTACATCCTCTTTTCCCATCACAATGCATCATTTCACATTTCTTTGCATTAAATTTTATCTGTCATTTGTCCACACAACCTACGTCTTTTTGAAGTTTAACACATTTGTCGTTGCAGTCCTCAATACTTTCAAATTTTGTCCCACACTCAAACTTCGAAATTGTGCTCTGTACACACATGTCTAGGTCATCGACATTTTCAGAAGAAGCAGAAATCCAAACACCAATACACTGCAGAACCCCACTACAACCATTCCTCCAATCCAAACCATAACTTTTCACTGATACTCTCTACCTTCCCTCACTCAGTAAATTTTATATCCATTCTGTTATTGTTTCTTTTATTCCACAATCTCTAACCTTGTTCACCTTTCTCAAATGCCTCTTAGAACTCCATGTGCACAATATCATCTACAACCATCCTCTCTCTATGACCTCATCAAAAAACTCAAACAAGTTATTAAACACAATTTGCCTTGGTAGCTTTCCTTAATTAACTAGTATTTGCCCAACTAGTTGTTAATTCTGTCATGAATCATAATTTCTAAACATTTCCCTATCACCAAGCCAAGATAGAGTTGTCTATAGTTAGTGGGCATACTATTTTGACCCTTTATTGAAGAAGGGTGTAACATTTGCAATTCTATAGTCTTCCAGCAGCACACTGTATCCATTAATGATTGAAAAATTATGGTTGGTGCCTCCACATTTCTTCCCTCGCCCTTTCTTCCTCAGTATCCTTGGATGCATCTTATCTGGTCTTGGTGACTTATCTGGTGCATTGATACAGTAACCCACTTGTTTTGTTAATTGTAATGTTTAGCCACATCTAACAAAACTGATTAAGTATGGAGCATCAGGGTCTGATGAATCCCTATCCATTGGGTTTGAATCTGGAAATTAAAAATTGAGTTCAGGCTCAAAGTAGGTGCCTTTAAGAATTTCAAAATATTTTCAAAGTATGTATAAAAAGTTCTAGAGCAATTAAAAGGTGTTCCCACATTAACTTCTAAGCGTAAGAGTCTGATTGGTCTTATATTCCTCAAGACAAAAGTGATAAATCTACTTATATGAGGTCATTTGCCAAAGTGCACAGTACTCTCTCACGGGTTCCTTCTCAGAAATTCAGATACAATCTCAGGGTTAAAATTGAATCAGAGATAGTGGGAACTGCAGATGCTGGAGAATCCGAGACAACAAGGTGCAGAGCTGGATGAACACAGCAGGCCGAGCAGCATCATAGGAGCAGAAAGGCTGACGTTTCAGGCCTAGATTCTTCATCATTTTCTGAAGAAAGGTCTAGGCCCGAAATGTCAGCCTTCCTGCTCCTCTGATGCTGCTTGCCCTGCTGTGTTCATCCAGCTCTCCACCTTGTTGTCTCACAATCTCAGGGTTCTTTGCTTTTAATTCTTAATATTAAGGTTCTGGAAATGAGCTGAGAGCTGGACAGGCTGCAATTCCCAACAAATAAAATGTTTCAATGAAAACTTTAAGAGCATGGGCCATCTTATTATTCTTTAATGCTTGCTCCAAAAAAACACTTGAAATGTGACATTTGAAAGCATTTGAAACCAATACATAATCAAACTGATGGGATCTGGCCCAATAGAGAAAATCACTTCCTGTTTAACTTTAGACAACTTAGATCCATGTATTATCTCTTTACAGCCATTGATGTGGAGTTTGCAGTTTAACTGCAGTCAATGGTTCAATTATTCTTCATAATAAAGTTTAAAGGTAATCCATGACTTCATTTGAATGATACAGAGGAATATTCCCCTTGGCTCATTTATGGATATTGTAGAGAAGCACATGAAATACTCGAATTTATTGAAAAAGGAAGGCAGCACTGAAAATACACAACAAATTGATCAGTGTCTGGAAAGTTAATGTTTGACAGTAAGACAGGTGAATATGTCCAGCCTGTTATTGTTTCTGTAACTCAGATTTTCTTTATAATTTGTGATAGTGTTTCAATTTTTAGAAATATTTTTAAGGCAAGATTTTTTTTTAATTGTGAGGAAGAGAGAAGTTTACACTTTATAACATAGCTTGTTAATTATTACAAAAGCAACATTAATTAAACAACTTTTATCAGTTAAAGTGTAGTTCCAAGAGAAAGTTTACACTCTTTGTGGGAATGCTGGAGTTGTTTGAATATATTTGCATGAGTTTTCAAGCACCTTCAATGGGAATGATATTTTTTAATACAATTCCTGTTCCATTTTTGGTAGAACATAAGTGTCATTAGACATTCTGCTCATTTACGTCCTTTTAAATGTTCTCTAGACTCAAAACATTAACTCTATTTAACATAGAACATAGAACATTACAGCGCAGTACAGGCCCTTTGGCCCTCGATGTTGCGCCGACCTGTGAAACCAATCTGAAGCCCATCTAACCTAAACTATTCCATTATCATCCATATGTTTATCCAATGACCATTTAAATGCCCTTAAAGTGGGCGAGTCTACTATTTTTACAGGCAGGGCATTCCACGCCCTTACTACTCTCTGAGTAAAGAACCTACCTCTGACATCTGTCCTATATCTATCACCCCTCAATTTAAAGCTATGTCCCCTCGTGCTAGCCATCACCATCCGAGGAAAAAGGCTCCCACTGTCCACCCTATCTAATCCTCTGATCATCTTGTATGTCTCTATTAAGTCACCTCATTTCTCTGTCCACAGATGCTGCCAGAGCTGCTGAGTTCCTCCAGCATTCTCCATGTTTGTTTCCAATTTCCAGCATCCACAATATTCTGTTTTATCTGATCAGACATTTCTGTGACTTGAAAAATGTACTTTGGAGTTGCTACAAATGGATCCAAGTTATACTGCTGGTTAAGGAAAATGGAGTTTTATGCAAGGGTACAAGCAAGTGTCAAGTCTCTTCTCCTCAGCTAAACTTCCATTTCCCCCCTCCCAAAACATACCTCATTCATAATATTTATAAATGTCCATTACATGACCTTCCAAAGTTGACATTACATTACAGTGTAAACCAATTCAGTTTCTTCGAACACTGCATGTTACTGGATTTACAATTACAATTAATATTTATAATCTTCACTACATGAAACCATATAGCTGGAGCAATTTTACCAACTTTCCAGCCTCTATGTCACTGAAAGGCCGCAGGAAGGTGGCTTTTCCCAATTGCCCTTTACCATCAGCTGTCCCAAATTTTAATCCCTCTATGTATAGTTCCCGACCTTTGAATGTGCCAATCTGCAACACCCTGTTTCATTTATACATAGGTTATATTAAAACAGAATTTTTCAAGCAGTTGGCTTAATTCCAATATACATTTAACAAACCTCAAACATTGTTACAATGATGATCTTCACAAGGTGACCTCACATCTCTTGGCAATGTTCCACAGCTTGCATTGATGTGAAGCTGAACATATTTCTCTAAAACATGTTCTTTAGGTAATACATGTTAGGTACTTAATGTCCTTTTGATTTCACATATTTTTGTGGTGGATCCAAAAGACATCAGGCCAGCTATCTCATTTTAGAAACAAGTTTGAAATGCGCAAAATCAAGTTTCAGTCTTCCTGCAGAATGTAACACTGTTGTAAGTCATAGTGACAGAGCTGAGCTCCCCATAGTGACACAGCTAAACTCCCCAAGCAACTCATGGCTTAGAGATTATGCTGCTCAGAGAGGTTATTACACACCTCTGGAACAGGTGAGACTTAAACTGGGACCTCCTGGCCCAAGGATAGGGGTGCTACTACTGTGTCATAAAAGATCCCCCAGCCCATGTTTTGTACAATAACTGATAATGCCCCAGACACACAATAGGTTATCCTGTACCTATGGAAATAACAGGTAGGTCAATGTATCAGAGGCATAAACAATACAGTGCCTGCCCTCACTGTGGATGTGCTTTTTTAAAAGTTTATTTCTATTTGCAGAAACTACATTTTAATGTTGGGACAGCCTGGGTTCTCCTATTTCCATAGGAGTTTTAAATTGTCCGAGGAGACCGAATAATGGCTTGGCTTTGGGCTGCAATTATATTGCATTTGGCATAAAGACCAATTGGTATGTACTATGGGATGGTCATCACTTGGATTTAGAACAATTCAACTTTGATTCATACCACTGCTTCTGTGTTAACATTTATCTGCTTCGCATTCAGTGCCAAAATGCCAGAGTTTGCAATTTAGCTGTAATTTGTACTGTCAGCTTTGGGAAGTTTATATAGTATTCTTTCAACCTTAATCTGTAAGAACATTTAAACAGTCTGCAATAAAATTACATCAAGCTCTAGCTTAGAATATGAAGTAAATTGCAAAATTGTCCATGGGTGATTTCCAAATATTATAAGTTAGCCGATTTCAAAGCTTTTTTTTAAATAAATAGCAGCATCAATATAAAACAGGAGCATCTGAGTATGGCACGTTTAGAGGTCAGACGCAAACGCAAGATTTAGTTCAGAAATGGCATTGCAGCATTGATCAATTGCGGTAACACTGCTGTGGCCTGCTCAGTAAATGAAGTGAAATCTTACCTATTTCAGGGTAGGAGGCAGTTTGAGCGCTGGAGGTGGTTGGCGCAGGCGAGGGGTTAACGAGCTGCTGAAAGGAGGGTCTTGTTGGATGGGGACCTCCCGAGGGGCTGATTTGTTCCGCAGTTTGGGGTACTTTCACTGGAACAGGGTTTGCAGGGCTCGGTGCAAGCGGGCGACTCAGGGGGCCATTCACCCGAAGCAAGTTGTCAATGAGGAAACTTCTGCCCAAGGTGTGGAACTCGGGCAGCTGTGGTGAGTTCAGAAAAGTGGATGAGGCCGATTCTTCCCAGGACACTGACGGTGTTGGGATCAGACTGGGGAACATGATGGGGGTGAACTAACACAGGATAACCAATGTGAACAGACAGCCTCTCCCTCTCACTCCAAGCAGCTACAGACACAAATGCATCTAAAGGAACGGGCGACAAATGACTGTTAATGAATCTTGTAACTTTTTTGGGGGGAGAAAAGTCTGGAGGGAGTATGGCTTTTTCAACACGAACTGCAACGCAATTGGCCCGAAACTTTCCATGTGATTCTTTGGAAAGCTATGACCAATGTCATTCTGACGGTCCGGAAGGTGTGTCCCTGTTACAAAGCAACATTTATAACTCAAAGAACAGACCACTAATGCTTTCTCAAACTAGAAAGCCAGCAAGTGACTCAAGTGCTGCTTTATTTGCTCTTTAACGAACACAAATCTTTTTTTTTACAAGTTTTGTCCCATCCTGAGGAACACATTTCTCAACAAATCGCACAAAATAAAACAAAGAACTGCGGTTGCTGGAAATCTGAAACAAACACAGAGAATTGCTGGAGAAACTCAGCAGGTTTGGCAGCATCAGTGGAGAGAGAGAGAGAGAAACAAAGCTAATGTTTCGAGTCCAGAGTCTAAGTCTCAGTAAAATGAAACAAATAATTACTGGAGACCAGAAACAAACCAAAACACAAATTACTAGAGAAATTCAGCAGGTCTGCACTGACACCTGACGAAGAGACTACAGACGCTGTCAAACCTGCTGAGTTTCCCTAGTAATTTCTGGGGATTTGGTGACGGATGTGGTTGTGTATGTGTTACCAAGCAATTCTATGAATGTCTGCTATTTCCTCTTCCTGTGAATACTTTGCAGACTAGACATCATGCACTATAATTTCTGCTTCGGGTGCAGTCAGCAAATTAGATTTTTTTTTAAAAAAAAGTTGTTCAAATTGAATTATTTTCTGAAGGAAAGTTTTGGTTCAAATTGCCATGCAATTTTATATACATCATCAGAAAACATTTTGTTAACCAGGGCAGTCGACTTACATGCTGAGGAAGGGTCGCCGGACCCGAAACGTTAACTTTGATTTCTCTTCAGAGATGCTGCCAGACCTGCTGAACTTTTCCGGCAATTTCTGTTATTGTTTCTGATTTACAGCATTCGTGTTTTATCTGCAATCGACTTATATAATTAGGTGTGATTTTTGAATTTTTTTTTCCTTTATTTAAAAAATATCCTTGATGTAACTGGTGCAGACTTATTAATCCAATTGAAAATGGAGTTACCTAAACAAGTATTTTAAAGGGCATGTTTATTGTTCCTGTAAGGAGTTTAATTCTCCTCCAGGGTGATATGATAAAACACCGGAAATGACTTTAAAATGTCCATGAAGGTTTTTATGAATTTTATTGGAGTACAACAGTCTGTTTCTTTGTCCTTATTTTCAAATATTTAATCACTTTCAAAACGTGTCCACTGCAGACCAATAAAAATTAGTTCGGTTGAAATCTCTCCCCAAGAGTATTTGCCAAAAGATATTTGTTACCAAATTGTGTTTGGCTGGAATCCTAACATCTTTGACGGGTTTATTTCCAGTTATATCTCTGAAATCACTTGCAGTTTGCTGATCTGATTTATAGCAATTAAAATGTTAATAACAACGTTACAAACTGGAGTAAAATCCAAACGGTAATTCTGTGTGTGTCTCACCGACAATGTTTTCTGGGTGAGCTAATGAAAGTGGATGTAATCTCTTGTGAAACTACACGCTGCCAGTCCGCACTTCACTAACATTCCAAGTTCTGCTGAAGCTAGGCTCTAGTTATGTTTTCCCCCAAATCGTCACTCGTTTCAAAATCGTCAGAATCGTTGTTTTCGCCCAGTTTAACTGAGACCTCACAAACCCCGTCAAAAGCCGAATCCACTTGTAGCTGGGAATTGGAAATGAAATCGGCTTTTAAGGGAGAATTGTGCATTAAGACATGGCTGGAATAATAAATATCACAACACATCGCTGCATATGTTTATTTCTCATTAAAGTCTCTGGTTTATTTGCCTGTCGCACATACTAAAGAAACCGCGATAATCCATTTGGAATGTTTAGGTAGTGATATCACCGTCCGTATTATAATTTTTATCTTGGTGCATGACCTGAACGTACTATCTTTGTATAACTTTTGAGAATAATTTAGTTATTTGAATGTTTACTATTTAAAGGTATTTATTTATTCCTTAGAGCGAAAGGGATCAAAGGGTATAGGGAGAAAGTGGGCGGCGAGTTGGAAGATTAGCCATGATCATGTTGCGTGGCTGGAGCAGGTTTGAGGGGCCGAATGGTCATCTTCTCCTCCTATTTACTATTTTTCAACTTCTCTGTATCATTCCTGGGGCTAAAGGCGTTACAGAATATGGGGAGAAAGTGGGAATAGGGCAATAAGGATGATTAGCCATGATCATATTGACCGGCAGAAAGATTGGAGGGGCTGAATGGTCTATTTTCTATGCAGATGCTTTACCTGATTGATCCACCTTCCTAATGGATTTAGACGTCTCTTTTTAAAAAAAAGTCGATTTGTATTTTGAAAGATTATGGCGACACAATGCAATGTTCTACTTTTATTCGCCATGTGAAGGCCAATTGTGAGAAATGAGAATTTTCTGGAGAAGGGTCTCGACCCGAAACGCCAGCCTTCCTGCTCCTCTGATGCTGCCTGGCCTGCTGTGTTCATCCAGCCCTATACCTTGTTATCTCAGATTCTCCACCATCAGCAGTTCCTACTATCTCAGTGAGAAACGGTGTTTAGTTGGAATAAGGAATCCATCCTGACCTATCAGCTATAGATATTGCAATGCATTTCTCAGCGGGAGGACAGTGGGGTATGGGATGTTATCACTGCAGGATTCAGATAGTTGGTCAGTACGTGGCAATCCTTCCATAACCGTGTTCCCGGCATTTGAACGGACTTCACTCTTTGTTTCGTTCAAACCTTCTCCATCAATAATTTGTATTCATTAAGGGAATGGGCGGAAGGGAAATACTCCAAAAACAAACAGCGGCGACTTCCATGTCTTAATTACGAAGTTTATTTGAACTGTTTTTATAACAAACAACGAAATAAAAAGGAAATCTTGGTAATCATCTTGAGGACCGATGGTCTATAAATCATTGCTACACTTTACAGTAAACCAGCTGATCATTACTGGGTTTATATCTCCTGGAGAGATTTGGGTCAATTTATATCATAAAAGCATCATGTTACACAGGCTGGAGAAGCGAACCGACAGTTTATACTATTTTCTGTTTGAGATTATTAGTTGAAGTGTCCTTCTAGTCAGTTTTACATCGAAGCTAATGTTAATTTGGGATACAGAGCGATGCTATATTGGGACAATTCACCCTTTATAAACGATGCAGCACCAGCGGGGATGCGTGGAGTTACTGGGATGAGCCCATACCCTTCAGAGAAATCTCACGCTCCCAGGAGCAGAAGTTTGTGCCGGGTTGCTGTTTATTCTAGTCCATCCTTTCTAAATTGTCGATGTCAACATTAAACTCTAAGCCCGATAAAAGTGTTCGAGTCAATAGAAAATATTCCGAATATCTCTCAGAGATAAATTCATCTAAGTCAACAGAGTTAACCATTCCCTCAGAAGGAGCAAGAGCAGCTAATTTATACAAAGATGTCCTAAAAATAAACTGACCAAGACAATGTATTGATGAAGGGTTCTGATGGGGGGTCAGAAATGTTAACTCGGTTTCTCTCTTCACACATGCTGCCAGACCAGCTGAGTTTCTCCTGCAATTTCTGTTTTTGTTTCTGTCTTTCAACATCTACAGTTCTTCAGTTAATAACTTTGTTTTATTTGTTTTGTTAAGGGATAAATTTTAGCTAGGGAACCAGGTGAACTTGTTTGTTCTTTAATGAATAATTCCAAGATTCAGTGGGATTTTTTTATTTGCATGTGAATAGGTAGATAAAACATCAGTTTAACATTTCCTCTGAAAGTTTGTATCTCTCAGTGCTATGTCCAAGTAATAGGCTAGGTTTATATGTTCAAATTATGGAGTGGGCTTGAATCCATAAGTTTCTGAATGAAGAGATTGGACAGCATGCAATGATATGAATGAACTGTTAACCAGTATATTGTTGGAGTATATTCTGGTAGGAAATTTTGACAGGAATTCCTCAGTTTATAAATATTGCTGCACGTTCAGATCATTTAACAATTCATTATTAGAACATTACCTTAGTCAATGCAGTACAACACTGGAGCATCTATCTTGACTGTGGATAGTCTGTTTCAGGGAGAAGATTGTTATATAAATGTGTGCTATTTTCTATTCCTGTAGGTACTTCATAGTTTAGACATCATGCATTATAATTTCTGCATTGGGTTCAATCAGCACATTAGAGAAAAATTGTTGTTCATATTGTATTGTTTTCTGAAGGAAAGTTTTGGTTCAAGTTGCCACGCAAATTTATATGCATCATCACGAACAGAAAATCTTTTGTTAACCAGGACAATTGACTTGCATAATTGAATGTGATTTTTAAATTATTTTTGCAATGAAAAAATCTTTGATGTAATTGGTGCAGGTTTACCAATCCAATGAAAATGGGATTATCACAAGAGTCACTAGACCAGAAACATTAACTCTGCTTTCTCTCCACAGATGCTGGCAGACCTGTTGAGTTTTTCCAACAATTTCTATTTTTTTAAAGGGGTGTTTATTGCTCCTGTAAGTGGGTGTAATTCTATTGTAGATAGATAATACAATATTTAAACACTGAAAATGACTTTAAAATTTATATGGAGCAACTTACTAATTTTGTTGGAGTACATCAGTCTGTTTCTAGTGAATTTTTTTTCAAACATTTAACTGTTTTTAAAATGTATCCACTGTAGGCCAATAAAAATTACTTCAGTTTGAAGTATCTTCTCAAACAGCCACACAAATGGAAAACTTTGCCTGATTCAGTATTCTGATTTGAATATGTTGTCCAGGTTCATGGACAGAACCAGCTTTTCAGTCTGAAATTTTTGAAGCCAGTATTAAAGATTGTGAAAACTTGATTAAAGCTTACCCCTTCTGAGGGGAGTTGACAGGGTAGATGCAGAGAGGTTGTTTCCCCTTATGGGAGAGTCCAGGACCAGAGGCATCATCTCAGAATAAGGGGTGGAACATTGAAGACAGAGTTTAAGGAGGAGTTTCTTCTCTCAGAGGGTGGTGAATCTGTGTAATTCTTTACCACAGAGGGCTGTTAAGGCTGGGTCATTAAGTATACCCATGGCTGAGATAGACAGACTTTTAATCAG